CCGCCGTCGCCAGGATGTGACGCTACTCGTCGCTCTGGCAACGGGGCTGTTTGGAGTCCCGTTGTGTATCGCCATCCCCCACGGCAGGGATCCTGTAAAGAGCTGCAGATCCCCCGCCGGCATTTGGTAAGCCTACTAAAGAGGCAATATAAAAACATTCTAAATGAATAAATAAAATAAATTTACATAATATGCTAGCAGTTTAGCTTTTAAAAATGAAGGGCAGCAAGTTGAACGTTCAAGAATATTAGTGTGCACACATGCAGTAAAGATACTTTTTGTAGGAAAAATGGTTTTTAAAAAGCTGTTCTTAAAGGAAGATACAGGTACAGCAAATAACTGGAAATAAGTATCAGAAAATAAGGAACATAACAATTAACCAGCACTGAGTCACCATCGTGGTCAAAGTGGCCATAATTAGCAACAACAACAACAACTTTTAATAACTTTTAAACAACTGACAAGAATTATAGTGAATTCCATTCAAGAATATCTACAGCTCAATTCAATTTAACCATATGAACAAAAAGGAATTTTTCAAAAATCCTGAGACACTAAAGATCAATTACTGATTCATAAAATGGTCTTACAAGATTGTAAAAGGCAGAAAACCAACCTGAACGTGGCTTGGATTGATTACAAAAATGTATTTGATTCAGTCCTTCATACATGGATCCTAAAAACACTAGAAATGATAAGCATCAGGAAAAACTGTAATAACGTTTATCAAAACTTCCATGAATAAACGGAACACCAAGTCGATAGTGAAGAAGAACTTGGAACAGTTAATATCAAATGAGGATTTTCCCATGGAGACACACTATCACTGCTGCTGTTTGCCCTAATACTACTCACAATCATTCTCAACAGGTCACCATCCTAGCAACACCTAATACTACTCACAATCATTCTCAACAGGTCTAGGATACCAGCTTTTAAAGACAGGCCCACAGATTTCACACTTATTGTACATGGATGACTTGAAAATGTATGGAAACTCAAAATCAGAGATTAATTCTTTTCTAAATACAGTTCAAATATTCAGCAAAGATACAGCAATGGAATTTGGCCCTGACAAGTGTGCACTGAAGGGAGGAAAGGTGGCTGAGCAAGAAAAATCAAGATGCCAAACAACAACATCATCAAAACACTGGGCTTTGAAGAAAACTACAAATATCTTGGAATTTTGGAAGCTGACAACATCAAACATACCCTTGTTAAGAAAAATATAACCAAGAAATATTACCAAAGAGTTAAAAATATATTGCAAACAAAAATTAAATGGAGGCAATACAGTAAGGGCAATTAACAGGTGGGCAGTCCCAGTTCTAAGAGCTGGCATTATCGATCGGAAACAACCAGAATTGGAAGCAAGAAATCGCAAAACTTGCAAGATAATGATGATGCATCACTCACTACATCCTAGAAGTGATGTTAATTATCTCTATGTAACAAGAAAATTAGGTGGAAGAGGTCTCTTGAAAGTTAACCAAGCAGTTGAAGAAGAAAAACGAGCACTGAATGACTACACCAAGAAAAACAAAGAGAGGCCTCTAGTTGAAGTGTACAAGGCAGACTTATTTAAGGTTACAGAAACCAAAGAAGATTACAAAAAGTTTGCAATAAAAATTTGCTTTGACAACTGAAAGGAAAAGCACTTGCATGGGCAATATTTGAAAGACACAGAGGACAAATTTGATAATGAAAACACCTGGAAGTGGCTCCAAAATGGGCACTTGAAGAAAAAAATGGAAGGACTCATTCTAGCGGAACAAGAGCAGACATACAAACTGCAAGTATGAAAGCCAAGATTCAGAACACCAGTGATGACAGCAAATGATGACCCCGGGTATCATTCTGACAGCTTGCTACAAGACAAGCCCAAGAAGAATATCAACAGAACACACCACTGGTGGTCACCTAGGGCTCCCAAATCTCGTCAAATCGCGGTGGGGGATCGCATGTCTTTGCAGTTGGCAACCCTATGGTCACCTACAACTCAAACCAGTTCAATGCATTATTAATGATCTACAACTCATGCTGGATAGCAACACTTCCCTTACACAGGCATGGGGTGGTGGTGACCTCTTCTTTCTTACAGACAGCCTAAAATGACTTCTCACCTGCAATGACAATCTACTTAACAGTAATATGGACTCTGGTACCAAGGCCTGCAACAAACCAAGATGCCAACTTTGCTCTCATATAGATCCTAGCAACACCATCAGTGGCCCCAGCAACATCAGCCATACTATCTCAGGTTCATATTCCTGCTCATCCTCTAATACCTGCTCATCCTTTATACCATCATGTGTCAACAATGTCCTTCCACCCTATACACTGGATGAACGGGCCAGACCCTTTGAGAAAGAATTAATGGACATAAGTCTGACAGTGTCATTGGAGGAACATTTTAACCTTCCAGGGCATTCAGTTGCTGACTTAAAAGTAGCAGTTCTCTTATAAAGGAATTTCAAAGGGAGATTAGAAAGAGAATTGCAAATGATAATGAAGCTCAAGACAATGCATCCACCTTGACTGAGTTGAGACCTAGGTTTTCAGTCTCATTACCAATGCTGATTTCTCCACACCTACTACCCCTCCTCATACCTCACCTAAATTCAATCACACCTGCTATTGTCATTCACCTGCTATTATCTTTTGCCTGCTAATCTCATTAGGTATCTGAAACCACTCCACTTTCCAATAAATAAGACCAATGGGCTCCCATTCTAGCTGTATCTGAAGAAGTGAGCAGTGACTCATGAAAGCTCATACCATATTTTGTTAGTCTTTAAGGTGCTACTGGACTTTTGCTGTTTTCTATGATGATAAAGAACATCAAGATCGAGTTGCAACTATGTTGTAGTAGAATCTTTGCAAGAAGTATGGATTACCATCAGCCAGAAATTCATGGGAGTACAAACCAGACAAGATTATGGAAAAGGATGAAAGATTATTTCAGACTTCCTACTGCAAACAGATAAACACTTGGAGCATAACACCACTGATACCAAAATTGTAGAAAAATTCTAAATAGAATTTGGATCATTAACATCGCAATCCCAAAAGACAACAGTATAGAAAAGAAAGACCAGGAGAAGATAATAAAATACTAAGACCTATGCACAGAGTTAGAGCATCTCTGGGAGAAGAAGGTGAGCATCATCCTAGTTGTCACTGGAGCCCTTGGAGCAGTGCCTAGAAGTCTCAAGAAACATCTGGACATTCTGGGCATTGAACAACTAACAGCAGCTCAGCCCCAGAAGACAGTGTTGCTTGGAACACCAAGTATCCTGCAAAGATACATCTGCAATTCCCAACTTGGCTAGATCTTGAATTGCAGAACACCATCTACCAATCAAAATAATGGTAATGATAATAAGCTGCCAGCCCTGACCAGGATAACCTAGGGTAGTCTGCTCTCACAAGATCTGAGTTTTTTTATTAACTGTAATTCTGGAACAATATAAGAAAGTAGATTATTTGATTTTACATATAGTTACAGCGGCAAGAATTGCTTTTGCATATCTCTGGAAGAAAGAAGATACACCATCCAAAGAAGAATTAATTAACAAAATAATGGAGGTTGCAGAAATGGATAATTTATCTAAATCACTGCAAGGAAGAGAAGAGAATATTTTCAGAGATGTCTGGTTAAGATTCTATAACTGGATAGAGAATTGTAAACTATAAAGTCAAAATGGTGAAAAAACTTAAACAAAACAGATGCAAAATTTAACCGTAAAAAGCGAACAAATAAGGGTTGGAACCATATATATATACGTTACATGTATTGTGTTTGTTCTTCTTTTTCTGTGTTTTATGTTATGTCAGTAAATGTTTGAAATAAAATAATAATAATAATAAAAGCGAAGCAAGGCTGTTCCACAGCTAGGACTTGGATAGGAAACCACCAAGAAAGACCAGGGTTGCTACGCTGATGCAGGGAATGGCAAACCACCTCTGTGCATCTCTTGCCTTGAAAACCCCATGAGGGGTTGCCATAAATCCACTGAGACTTAATGGCACTTTCCACCACCCAAGTGCATGCAGGGAATGGCAAACCACCTCTGTGCATCTCTTGCCTTGAAAACCCCATGAGGGGTTGCCATAAATCCACTGAGACTTAATGGCACTTTCCACCACCCAAGTGCCATCAAATTGCCATTGAAAAGGCCCAGGCGCTGGTCAATGCCAGACAGATGGATCACCCTAAGTGATGATGCTTATATGGTACTTTCCCTGCCAATCATATGTTGAAAGGCTGGAGAGAAACTGTTCTGTTACCATAAACACTCTGATCAAGACCATAACAGTGATAAATGGATAAAAAATCCTCAATCCATATTACATAATCCCAAGTATGACATGAGTGCTAAAGTTACCAACAAATGCAAGTAACAGCTATAAAAACACATAACGTTGCAGCTTATTATCCTATCACCATCTTTTCCAAAAAGGATGGGAGATTGTTTTTTTAAAGAAATGTGTGCACTGCAGAAATGCATTCTGTGGGATTAAGAAAAAAAAATTAAGACTTTTTACGTCTCTACGTAAGAGAGAAAGGAAAGAAGCTGTGGTTTCCAACGCACTTTTTCTGCGAGCAAGCCTCGCTGAAAGGAGTGGGGCTTACTTTTGAGTAATGCATACAGGGAATGGGGCTATGAATTTACTCTACCTCAATGCATCACATTGTGGCCACCCACCATTTCCAGTACGGCCAATCCCCCCCACCCAAAATTAACCCTGCCCGATCTGCCGCAAACATACACACCCCAAGAGCCCCTTCGCGTGAAGGAACTGCAGCTCTCTTCCACACCACCGGTCTCTTCACAGCATCGGTAACCCTAGCAACCTCCCTTCGCTCTGCCATTGGCCAATTCAATACCAGCCGGCGGCCAATGGGCGCGCCTCCGGAGCCAGTCTCTTCCAATGGGGGTGAGGCACAGGGCAGGGCGCCTTGTTGACGTCTACCGAGGCGAGCGAGGGGGGTGCTGGAAGGGGCGGGAAGAAGGGAGTGGAGAGCCTGCGAGGGAGGCGGCGGTGTTTGTGCTGCTCGGCGGTGGCACGTTATCCCCACGACCATGGACACCCCGGGGTAGGGCCCCTCTCCCAGCGGGGTGGCTGCGGCCCCTCCGCGCCCGCCGAGACGCAGCGCCCGCGGTGAGTGAAGGTCTCCGGCTCCCTTCCAGGCTTGGAGGGGAGAGAAGGAGGTAGCGCTGCGGAGGGAGAAGGAGGACGTGAAAGGAGCGGCGTGCGGGGCGGGAGAGGGGGGGAACCTCCTGGGCAGGGAGAAAGAGCAAGGGAGGGATTCTTATTCCCTGCCCCGGGAAATCGGCTCCCTCCCTCCTTTGCAGACACCCCCGCGGCTACTGCTTCAAAACTCTCCAGTGCTTTTCTCTGCCAAGGCTCCTTGCTCTGCCTGCTTGTTCTGTGCCTTTCCTTCCTTAAACACTTGGCTCTCACTTATCATCCTTCCCCTTTCCCTTCTCGAAAATGTGCTCTCCCCCCCCTCATTACTTGCCTGGGTCTTTAAATAGCCCCTCCCTGGATAATGTGCTTCCATTTGGCCACCTTTCCCCCCCCTGTTCAGCCTGCATTTCCCTTTTTCACTTATCTTAGCCCCCTGAAGCTCTGTCTTCCACTCTCTTCCCAAATATTCACGTGTTTACCCTCTAAGTAACCTTTCCCGTTTGCCCTCCCGTTCTTTCTCCCATAAATAAGAGAGGTAGAGTTATTTTTCTGCCCCGGAATATTGATCTTCCAAGCACTCTTCCTATCCTCGGTGGCCTTAACCTTTCCTAACAGTTTCGTTCTTCTAAACAGGCTCTACCTAAATATCTTCCCCATGTCCCTTTAGCAACTTCCCTTTTGCAGATTTCCCCCTCTTTACAACCTGTCTTCTGTGCCATTTCTTGCACAATCTGGTTTCCTGCATTTCTCATGCCTTTCTCAGCAACATTTTCCCATGGAATTACCATTCCCTATCAGACATCGCTTCCTTAATCTGCTTCCTTTGCTTTCCTAGTTTTCCCCCAGTACCTCAAATGCTCCTTTCCTTAAAAACTGTCGACAGGCATCTTGGTTTTCCTCTTCATAACCTTCCTTGTACTCTGTTTAGGTGAGGCTTGACTAATGTCCTTCATTCCACCAAAACAGTTCCTTAAATTAATTGTTCCCCTCTTGGGTTTGGGCGTCCTCTCATTCAGACCAAGCTTTGTTATGCTTTGCCCTACAAGATTGCTTTTCAATATTTTTCTCTGCACTTTTCCCATTCTTAGAGTCCTAGCAAAACTGTACATCCCTTCTGTCTGCTTAAGCCTCTTCAATCCTCTTCGCTGCCTTTTGCATGTCTGTTAAACCATTGCAATTATCTGCATGTTCTTCATCCCTGCCTTCCCCATTGCTTTATTACAGAAATTCCTTCCTGCTTTTTGAGCCTCTCTTTAACCCTTCTTCCTCTTACTGGGTTCGTCTTCCCTGGACTTCTAAATCCTTCTCTCTTTACCTGCATTCTCCCCTTACTTGTCCTTGCCCCCATCTTGGATCTCCCCCCCTTCCATATTTCTCCCATTTGCTTGTTAAAGTCATTGGTGACCAGACTGGCACAGTGAATCTGTGTAAAGCCTTGCAGCTACTACCCTCCCATAGTCACCCAAGCCCTGTAGAGAAGAGGGAGGGAGAGAGCAGCAGCAGTGGCTGCCTGGTTTTGGCTGCATGTTCCAGGAGTGCGACAGACGGTGGTGTATGTGGACGGAAGCTGTTCGCGCTCTGGGCGAATGAGAAGGCAGGTGTGTGTCTGTGTGTGGGAGGGGGACACGCTGTTTGTTCCTGGAACTCTTGGATAGTGCAGGACTGCACGGTATGCCTTGGAAACCCGTTGCAACAGATCGCTCCTTGCCCAGCTCTCTAGCAGCCAAAGGTCACCAGACCATCTACCCGGCAGCAAACGAGCAAGCTTTTTCGTGCTGCCTGCAGAGAGAGTGTGGGAACAGTATCTGTGCTGAGCATGGCATTTACACAGGATCAGGTTAGATTCTCAGTCATGTTGCTTTGCTTGGAGAACAGTTCTGAAGGCCCTTGTAATGATCATGGCTCAGGCATATCCTGGCTGAGCAATGCTGGGGATTGGTCCCCCCTCCCCATGTCTCGACTTTGTGTGCTAACTTCTCATTCAGGAGTCATTCTGGTTAGCATCTTATTAGATGTTTCAGAGCGGAACTATAGAAAATGAGTAGTGGTGATAGCAGTGGTGTAGGAGATGGGAGAAGGATGGGAAGAAGGTAAATCTGTATGTCACTAAGGAAGGTCTTTCAACATATTTCTTTTGCATTCCTTTCTTTGGTCAGAAACTCAACTTGGAGATGGCTTCATACGGAGCTTTCTTATTAGAAAAAGAGAACTGCTTCTTCTTGTTGTGTTGAATAAATATTTTTTAAAAAAATTGAGAGACAACTGCTTCTTATCAGTACTGAACTGCATCTACACCCCTATTATGTCTATGTAGAAAAGAACAGAGAAAGCAGTGTTTTACCGGAGATGGGACAGCAGGAACTGTCTGGTACTGTTAAATCGCTGGGCGTGTCAATTACCAATTGAAAGGCCACAGAAGGGCAGCAGGACACAACAATTGCCAGCATGTCTTTCCCCAGATTTATGTTTAGTAGTACCATGTATTAGGTCTGTTTGTCCATTCAAGCTGCCAGAGCCGTTTAACTTGATATTTATAAGGCAGGATGGGGGTGCTTGGGCCAAGGAGCTGGGGGAGGGAGCCTTAGCAAAGTTTAGAGCACAATAGTTGAGTATAGGTGAAAAGGGAATAAAGTGCATGCCTGAACGTGAACTAAAAGTAGTTGTTTTCTGTTTGATTTTTTTTACTGCCAGATGAAAAGAAATAATTACAGTCTTTAGGTAGGGAAGAAATTGCAGTGGTAGCTGCCAAGCAGGTCCAAAGCATACTGCATGAAATGTTGTCCTGACATGTTTGGGGCAGTTTTTGTAAACAGGACATTGTGATTTGGCTGTTAGGTTTAGTTGAAAGACATCTGTTCGTAAGCATTTTAAAATTTATACTGTACTCTGCACCGAAATAGATATTTCTGTTACTGTGGTAAAGTACTTCACATTCATGAGGTTTGAACAGGTCTGCGGTCTGTATGCTGGATGATATTTAATGGAAGAAGTGTGCATTTTATTCGAAAACAGATTTCCAGTTTGCATACCAGTATGAAATGTTAAATAAACATAAATCCTGAATTTTTTTTTTGTGGGCAGTCTGTGCAGTCTCACTGGTGTTTGGGTATATTTCTGTGCATAGAATGCTGAAATGATGTTTGCATTAAAAATGGGACGCTTCTTGAGTGACTCTTTGTGCACATAAGGTTTAATAGCTGGTGAATTAGCATCATGCCTCTGAAAGAGAGTGCTACTGTGTTTGGATAGATGACTTGTAGTAATTACAACAGCAAGCAATTTGGTGAACTGTTTTCCCCTACTTCTGAATAAAGGGGTGGTGAGTTATGTTAAAATGCGTCTTAATACTGGGGGGGGGGGCTGGAATCTGAAGGCTGCTATGCTACAGTGCTAATCAAAAGCCTTAAGCACAGCAACCCCCTTTAACACCTCCTCAAATAATCTTGACTGCTGTATAGTCTGAAGCTCATCCATCCCCCCCCCTTACATGTATGCAGCCACTCCAAACACTCTCAAGCCCCATTCTCTCCTCATTTAATGCTGACTGTTATGGAGCCTTGAATTCCCTCTCCCAGATTCTGCTGTTTCTGTGGCCCCAGCTCTTTCCTCAAGACCAGAAGTCTTACCTTTTACTGATGTCATCAACTTGTTTCCCTGCTATTTCATTTCAAGAGGCAGTCTCTCTCTCTCCCTCTCTCTCTCTCATTTTGGTTTAGGTACTACATTTCAAGTAATAAAGTGAATTCCTGCTTTTGTGACATACAAGTAGTAGTAGTCTCCAAAAAATGTTTCAGAAAAGCAATCTCAAAGCAAGAATTCATAAGAGCAATATAGTCAGGTGTTCCCTGTCTTGAAAGGTGAAACATCTTCTGGAGGAACGCTTGTGATGTTCTGTAGTATGGTACATCATTATTTTATTTTATTTTTAGTTGTAGCAATCCCAGTGATCATAGCAGGTCTAACGATTACAGGCTTAATAAACCCAACAGTGATTGCTGCTTGTAGTTGTTTTTCTTTTCCTGTCAGGATATCCTTGTTGGCATATCCTGAGGGGGCAGGAGGCTGGGAGAGGATTGTTTTGTGTTCTTCCCATGCAATTTGCTTCCTTTTTCTCTGGCCGGTTGCCAGCATTAGAGCAGTTGTAAAAGGACTTTTCCTTTGCATCCATTTATATTATGCATTGGGACAACTACTATGCCACCTTTAAATTGTAATAAATTTTCCTATATATGCAGGTGTAAACTAGTTGTCTGGGTATAATTATACTTTTACTAGGTGGCTGCAGCAGGGTAGGAATTCTTATTTAATATAACACCCACGTATCTACAGAATGTTAATTCCTTTTTGAGCCTAAAAGGAATAATAAAGCAAATCATGTGGAAGACCAGATCAATACTTTATATTACCACTGTAGGCTTGTAGCTTAGAAGTGGGTGTTTCTGAGGCTGCATGCAATGGTACATGGACTCTTTTCAATCAGACATTGCAATCAGACATTGGTGTGACTTCCCAAGAGTCTCTGATGACTATTTTACTTATTTACTTCATTTATATTCCACCTTTCTCCTGAGCAGGGACCCAAAGCATTGTTCTCCTCTTCTCCATCTTATCCTTGTTAGGATGAAAATATGTGATTTGCCCAAGGTCATCTAGTGAACTTCCATGGCAGAGTGAGGATCTGAACACGGGTCTCCCAGATCCTAGCCCAACTCTCAATTATACCACGTGGGCTCTCTGATTTAGATAGTAAAAGAAGTTAGCTGGCTTACTTACTACACAATAGTTCGTTCTCTCTCTTAGAACCCAGTAAAGCACATTTGCACATTACGGGATCTGTGGACTGATTGCTGCCTCTTTTTGGTCCCCTGGCAGCCTCCTAGGAATTTACTTATTTATTTAGAACATTTCTGTGCTGCCTCTTCAGAGTCCTGCTCCGGAGGACTGAAAATACCTCATTGTTGCCTTTTCCC